CCGGGGACACTTCGGAGAGTCAGCCCAAACCGAGGGTGACGCGGAGCGCCAAGAGGCCCGCGGAAAAGTCACAGCAGGCAAGTCCTTTACTGCTTCACTTTTTAAACGTTTTCTACTTTATTTTTTTTAATAGTTTTTGTTTGTTTTTTTAATCCTCACTCGAGGATGTTTTTTCCATTGATTTTCAAAGAGAGTGGAAAGGGTGGGGGGAGAGAGAAACATCGATGTGAGAGAGACAACATCGATTGGTTACCTCCAGCACGTGCCCCAGCCAGGAGGAGGATAGAACCTGCAACCCAGGTACGTGCCCTTACCTGGACTCAAACCCACAACCCTTCTGTGAGCAGCCTGATGCTCTAAGCATGAGCCATGCCGGCCAGGGCACTGTTTCGCTTTTTAACGCGCACAGAATGCTCCTGTTGCAAAAGCAAACAAACACGCTGCATGCGCGGACAGGCTCCCCGTTCTACCCCACAGAAGCGCGGGTGTAAAGCGTGAGTTTTGTCGCTGTGGCTGTGGTCCATGCTGTCTGTCCTGGGAATTCCCGTGTCAACAGCGAATTCACATTATGACGTTGTGGGTCAGCAGCAGGGACCTTATCCAGCTAGTGCTTCCCGCTGCTCACTGCACCCCTCGTACTGACATCACAGGTCTCCAGGCTCCCGAGTTCAGGGACTCACCAAGCCCAGAGGTGGCCCTGTCGGGTCCCCAAGGGGTCCCTTTGGAAACTAGAATGACTCCACGTTGGGTGTGTCCCCAAGGCACCTCTACTCTTAGCAGTCCCGGGTCAGTAGGAAGGGCTGTGTCCTGTCACCCTCCCGAGTCAGGCGCCATCTAAGTTAATGGACGGTGAGTGCCCACAGCCTTCAGACTCACAGCCCGAGAGCTGCCTGCGCGGGATTAAGCCCACGAAGCAGGATGGCACCCACTCAGCATTCCTCTGGGGAGCCCTCCATTTTGCTGGGTTCAAAGAACAGGCTGAAAGGTCCCCTTGCTGTGAGGGGGACACAGTTAGAGACCGGCGTCCGCAGGAACTTCCTGCTTGACCAGTGGCTGTCGGGTCCGGCGCCCGCTGCATAGGCCCTGACGCAGGTCCACCCATGTCCAGGATGGCACCGAATGTCCCTGCCCCTTAGAGTCACGCGGGAACAGGCGCAGAGCAGCTGACGTCAGCAAAGACATGGAGACGGGTCTGGTTCACGGTTGTTTGGTGGCAAATACAATAATTACTAATAACACAAGCGTACGCCTTGTTTCCCATACTCACTACTGTAAACCTGCATTTTGCCCCCAACCCTGGATTCTAAAACTCCTCTCCGCCCTCCAGATCCCTTCTGGGAAGGGTCGCCCCAGGGAGGGTTGGGGCACTCATAGGGCGGAGTTGGGTACAGAAGTCCTCGCTTTAAGTGACCGGAGCTGCATTTTCTTCCCGAACAGGAGAACGACGACACGGGCGTCAAGAAAATAAGGACCCGAAGCCGCCGGGGCCGTGACGATGTTTAGCTCAGATTGGGTTGGGGGGGGGGGGGGGGGGGGTAGGAATGTAGTTTAGTGATAAGTTCTAGAACAACGTTTGCTGTGAATTTAAACGTGGATTCTGTAAATAATGCTATCCGGGTGCGTAAGGGAAGAAAGCTTTTAAAAAATTTCTTGATTCTCAATAGTCTATTCAAAAACCCCGCCTGGAGTTATGAAGGGGGACTCCTGGGTCCCCAGAAATAACAACTTAAGGCGGGTGGGGGTTGGGAGGGGAGTTTGAGCCAAGCTGTACGCTTCAACTTTGCCAATGCAGCCCTGAAGTCGACCTCTCCGGTCAGCCCTGTTCCGGTCAGCCCCGCCCCGGGCTCTAGCACTTGCATTGTAAATGCTTCTGTGTTTGTCTGTGTCCCCGTGAGGACCCCAAAGGCAGGGCCCTCGGGAAGCGATAGGAAGGGGTAAGGGAAGACTCCTGGTGCTTATAGATGTGTCTTCACGGTGTGGAGGCCTGTGTCGGTGCCCTGGGGTTGGGTGTCTGCACAGGGCAGGCTTGTCCGGGACTCCAGTCACTCAGGGAATAAACTCGACCTGGAGGATGGCCTGTGACCCCATCTTCAGGGCACAGCAGTCAGACAGACATCTCGGGGCCGACTGGTGGTGTGCCTTTTTCACGTGGTATTTGCCTAAACTAGGACTGCGCTCATCTGAGAAGGACCCATCCACCCTCCCATCGGCCAGGGGCTCGGTTCTCAGGCTGACACCGTCTTAGCTCCTTTGGTCAGGCTCCCAGATAAAACGACGGAGCCGAGCAGACCTGAGGTTCTCACATCAGCAGAACAGGTTAACGTTTTCTGAGCTTCTGCTGGCCCTGGGCCCACCTGTGCTTTTTCTGGCTGCACCTGTCAGCCTAGGGTGCTCTGCACCCACTGGGGACAGGAAGCAACATGAGCCGTCCTAACACAAGGCCATTTCTGACGGCAGCAGGCACCAGGGTCCTTCCCCGAGGGCCCGCGCTCTCATTGCGAGGCCGTACCTCCCAATGGAGGGCATACCTCCCAGTGGAGGCTGTACTGCCCAGTTGCAGGTCAAGTCCAGACTTCCTCCCGTTTCAGGCCTAGACGTGCATCTAACTGCTGGCATCTCTGTTTTTATGTTCCACTGTGTCCTGTCCCTGTGTGTCCCCTGGTCAGAAAATAGCACATCTTCCATCCATTCGCCTCCCCATTCACCCGCCTTGCCGGGCTGAGGAGAGGATGGAAGACGAGGTGGCTGTCCCCAAGTGTGCGTGTAAGGGCCGTGCCTGTCTGTGCCCTCCTGTCCTCTGTGTCTGGCGTGGAGCCAGGTTCATATAAAAATAAACTTTTGTTAATCAACTGAGGCGTCTGTCTCCATCTGTTGTGCTTTTGGCGCTGCCACCATGCAGTGGTGGGCGGAGTTCAGGGTTGCCTAAGGCCCTAAGGGAGGGAAGGTTGGGGAAGGCAGGGGGAGGGGGTTGGGGGAAGACAGGTTGAGCAGCTCACCTGTCAGGGCTGGTGACAGGTGAGCTGGCCTGGGAAGAAGAGTGGCATCGTGCAACAGAAAGGACAGCCCTAGCTGGTTTGGCTCAGTGGACAGAGCGTGGGCCTGCAGACTGAAGGGTCCCGGGTTCAATTCCGGTCAAGGGCACGTGCCCGGGTTGCAGGCCCAATCCCCAGTAGGGGGCGTGCAGGAAGCAGCTGATCAATGATTCTCTCACTGATGTTTCAATCTCTCCCTTTCCCTTCCTCTCTGAAATCAATAAAAATATTTTTTAAATAAAAAAAGGACAGTATTGGGCCTCATTAGAAAGGTGCTTGACTGGAGATGTGAGTCATAAATGTGAATTCAGGGAGGCCAAATTCAAGAAAATGAAAAATAACAGGACTTTTCTTTGATTAGGTTGTTCATGAAGTTCACATATAGAAAAATTTCAATTAGCTGTGTGCCTTGGGAATGGAATATACTGATTAATGAAAAAAACAGTAATTAACAAAACTCAAAAAATTAAACATGGAACTGCTAGTTGACCCAGTGATCCCACTTGTAGGAATCTATCCTAAGAAACCTGAAACACCATTCAGAAAGAATATATGCACCCCTATGTTCACTGCAGTATTATTTACAATAGCTAAGATCTGGAAACAGCCCAAGTGCCCATCAGCAGATGTGTGGATAAAAAAGCTGTGGGACATTTACACCCTGGAATACTACGCAGCTGTAAAAAGGATCTCTTACCCTTTGAGACACAATGGAGGGACCTGGAGAGTATTATGCCAAGTGAAATACGCCAGTCAGAAAAAGACAAGTATCACATGATTCACTCATGTGGAATCTAAATGATGAGCAAAACAGATCCAGAGACACAGCAGCATGGAACAGAGTAACGGGATGGAAGGTGGGGGTGGGTGGGCAGAGATTAATCAAATAACTAGGATGCATAAATGCATGGCCCAGGGACACAGTAGTGTGGTGACAGCCTGGGGCAGGGCGTGGGGGTGGAATGGAGGGTGACAATGGGGAAAAGGATATCTGTAATACTTTCAACAATAAAGATAAAAAACAACCCTTTCGGGTTTAATTCTGACCACAAATCCCACAGAAATAAATGAGCCCACTTTCCCCACTTCGTAAGCACAGCGTAGCCAGGGTTGTGGGTCTGGATGGGAAACACCCACTGCGCATCCTTCACTTCACACTGAGGGGGGGTCACAGTTGGGGGGATTAGGTAACCATCAACCAGGCTGAGGCTGAGAGCAGGCTGCAGGCAGAAGGCCTGCCCCCCACCCAGAGCAGGAGCGGGGGGCCACTGCCCTAGGGGACCCCTGTCACAGACAGGTGCAGGCAGACCCCGAGGAAGACCCAGGCACCCAGGGCCTAGGAGAGCCAACGGCACTTCGCTGCAGGTGCGTTTCACTGCAGGTGGCTTTGGAGAGGGGACTAACAGGTTTCAAATCATCTTAGCAAACATAAGGCTCATAAAATTTATTAAATACAGAGAATAAAAGCATATGCTTGGATCCCAAGTGGGCCTAAAATGCTGAAAGGAAGCTGAGGGAGGGAGGGAGGGAGGGAGGCGAGGTGGGCGGGTGGAGAGAGCTGGGCACAGTCAGAGCCATGAGGACGGCAAAGGGCTGCTGGTGGGGTTTTAGATTTTAGGAGGAAAAGCAACATCCAGGACTTTCTGAGTCCACCTGGCTGTGGACTTGATGCATCTGTCGTCACCCTTGTTGACCGAAACATCACTGCTCAGAGCTCAGATTCCTGCCTGGACGCCAGCAAAAGCTTGGGCTCCCTGACGGCGAGTTATGACGTGTTTCCTGCCTGTACCTCAGGCCTGAGGACCAGCTGAGCGCTGGGGCCAAGCCCTGGCCACCGTGGCCCCACGCCCACCGTGCCCCCACACCCCCCAGGCCCACCGTGCCCCCCACACCGGAGGGGTTGCTCCCAGCTAAGTCACAGAAGCCCCAAAACCAGTGGTCTATAAAGAACGAGACGCAGGCCGGAAGTCAAAGCAAAGGTTTATCCTTGCGTCGGAATGTTTCCCACCGTGCAATTTGCAGGTACAAAGACGTCAGCAACATTCAGTGGCATCAAAATCAGAACAAGAGCAAGTGATAAATGTAATAAAAGGAGGCAAGATGGGTGGAACCGGGGTACATACATAGAAAGATCGCACATGAATGAAACACGACGTAGTTACACAAAAGTGTCAGTAACCGGACGTTAAAAAAAATAACACGCGGGCATGTCTCCGGGTGCTGAAACGGATGCCAGGCTCATCGTAAAAGTTTTTAAAAACACATAAAAAATACCCTTCAGAACCCCGGCCTGCATTCCTCATGAGCACAAGGAGAGTAAGTGAGTCACACGGTGACCAAGCACACAGGTCAGAACCGGAGCCTTCCGGTCGGATTTGGCATTGAATTCAACTGCGTGCAACATAGGGAGACGCTGGGGGGACCCAGGTCGGGCGGCGCCTGTGTGCACAGGGGGCCTTCTGTGCCTGAAGGGGAAGAGCTCCCACGTAGCTGCACAGACAGGCGGTGAGTCCCGAGGGCTCCCCCAGACCCCTGCCGGGGCCAGCTGGCTGCATTCCAGGGCCCCCCAGGAAGGCAAGCGCGGGCTGCCCCCACCTGGGGAGGGTCTGTGCCCAAGGGACAGTGGCTTCTGCTTTGTTTCTGGGACTGGAAGGACCAACGGGGCACCCGGACACCTGGGGTGCACACCCGGAGGGCGCAAGGGGCGAGAGGACACACCCCTGGGGCACTTTCCCGAGGGCGCCCTGAGGGGGTCTGTCTCCTCCAGGAGGTGCCAGGGAGCCCATTGGAGGGCGTGGGGGATGCTGAGGACGGCTCCTCGATTTGGACCCAAATCCGCGCCCTTCCACGTGGGCCCCTCAAATAAGTGACAAGCAGCCGGCATCACAGGCAGCCGGCATCACAGGCAGCCGGCTCTAGTTCTAGGGTTGGTGCTGGGCAAAGCCCCTGCCTCTTCCCCTTCAATCAAAGGCAGGCTCTGGGCTTGGGATTTAGCAATGAGAACCAACGGGGCCAACCAGCCTGCCTTGCAGCGCTCCGTGCGTCTCCCTCCGGGGCCCTAGTTCGGGGTCCGGGGCGGGCGACATCGGTGTCATGTACACAGCCCAGGGCTGTGGCTGGCGGGCGGCATGGCAGCCCTCACCGAGTTGTGCTTTTGTCTTCCCAGCGGGGCACCTGTGCTGGCCCTTGGGTGGGGCTCAGGGGAGAGGCAGGAGCCTGGTTACCCGTGAGCCTGTGCGTAGAACCCGCCCAGCCCGCGGCCTGGGGCTCAGGCAGTGGACACAGCTGTGAGCTTGTGCTTAGAACCTGGCCCCACCCCGTCTGGGTACAGCCTGCTCACTGGCCACGGACACAGCTGTGGGCCTGCCCTCAGAACCTGGCCCAGCCCGGGTACAGCCTGCTCACTGGCCACGGACACAGCTGTGGGCCTGCCCTCAGAACCTGGCCCAGCCCGGGTACAGCCTGCTCACTGGCCACGGACACAGCTGTGGGCCTGCCCTCAGAACCTGGCCCAGCCCGGGTACAGCCTGCTCACTGGCCACGGACACAGCTGTGGGCCTGCCCTCAGAACCTGGCCCAGCCCGGTGCACGGTGCTCAGGCAATGAACACGGGAGAAACAGTGCAATCCGCTCCCAGGGGAAATGTCAAACGAGGCGTTGATATGTCTTTTAAAAAGCAACGGACGTACCAAAATGCACAGGTGAGCTGCTGTCCGTCAGTGAGACCAGGTGTCTGAGGTTGTGCTCGTCTGCTAGGCACGAACGGCCATAGAAAGACCGCTGCTACCAAATCAAACCTGTCTACCTTCATCCCTCCCCCCACCCCCTTCTATTTTACCCCATGAGCCGGTCCTGTCTGGCAGGGGGTCATGATCATCCAGTGTCCAAGGTCTCCCTAGTATTTCCATCCAAAAATAAGCTAGCCTTTCTCTTCTCCAATTAAACACTGCGGAGCGGGACTTTTAAAAAACGGTATAAATCTAGATTTTAGGGTTTCTTTTCTTACAAACAGTCTTAGTTTTTACAAGGGGCTTTTAAGTACCAAAACGCTTCTCAGAAAGTTTAAAGCATCGTTACCTGTGGTCCTGCTGCTCTTTCTACCAAGCGTGAGCTTCTGGCTCCCCTGGGTGCGGGGCTTGGGGCTTGACCTGAACTTTTGGGGGGGAAGTGGTTTGAGGTGGGGCCCCTGGGAGACCTGCCGCCCACGCTGGCAGCTGTGGCCAATGGGACCAGAGCAAGAAAGGCATTCATCTGCGTCAAACACGCAGAGGGACGGACAGCAGGGGGCGCTGTGGGGGTGCAGCTCGGAAGCCGTGGGCGAACCAGACCACCTGGGTCTTCTCCTGTCATCTGTCCCCGGTGGCACGGACACGGCCCGGGACACGGCCTGTGTTCCTCTCACTGTACAGTCACTAGCTGCAGACCTGTATCCAGGTTGCGCAGCCTTCTTGGATCTTTAAATTGTAACAGGGAAACCACGTGGGTGGGACCGAGGCCTTTACAAAACACATTCTTTATCGCGCAGCTTCAGGAACAGTTTGTCCTCAAAAAAATGCTGCGGCTCAGGGCCGTCCAAGCAGCCTTAACCAAGCGAATTCCCACCCGATTTCTGAGTCCCCGGCTGTTTTCTCCTGAACGCTGTGTTTAGCATCTTGTACACTTGGCACATTACGATTTTATAACATTTAGAGGTGCTGAGTGTGAGAAATTAAATGATATGGATCTACTGAGAAATTAAAACATTTACTGGTATTAGCGAAATATATACTTTATGGGACATCATCTGACCTTAATACATTATTCCAGTTTTTAAAAGGGGGCCTTGACGACATAGTAAGTTTATAGCGGGCGGCCTTGAAAGCATCACAAGATATATACAAAGACATTAGAAAGGGTATTAATGTCAACTATGAAATAAATTAACATGATTTTTTTTTTACAAAATATACTGACCATTAAATTAAAAAATATCTTAAGGCAGGAGTTTTCATTTGAAATTAGCATAATCAGAAAATATATCAATAAAATCTTGTACCACTTTGTAGCAGAATTCATACTGTTCCTGAAAGAGAAAACCAAGAAGACATTAACATATATTTTAAAAATACTGGAATAATTAGGAGAAGCATTCAGAAAGAAGACACAGGGAAGCCCAGGCATGAAAACCCTGCAGACCCTCAGCCCGCCGGCTCCCGTTACAGTTTAGCTTCCGGAGGAACCCGCTTCCCCACCTAGAAAAGGCCAGCGAGTCCTGGCCGCCCAGCGAGCCCCCGCCCGCCCAGCCAGTCCTGGCCGCCCAGCGAGGCCCCGCCCGCCCGCCCGGCCGCCCCTCACCTGGGTTTGCACCATGTGCGGCCTCTGGAGGCGGAGGCTCTTCACCGCCTGGAACACGTCCAGCAGCCCCTCCGCCTTCACGCGCTCCAGGATGTTGCTGAGGGCGATGAACGTACCGGTGCGCCCCGCGCCAGCGCTGCGGGGAGAGAGGCTTCAGGCAGGGGCCCCGCCACTTGGGGGTTGGGGGGGAGCGGGGGCAATGGGACAGCGCCCACCCCACGCATCGCTGCTGCAGCCCATGGGGAGGATGTGAGTGTGGCCTTTTTTTAAAAAAAAATACACTGAGTGGCCAGACTATGATGACCACCCCATCAGTACAATGAAGTGACTTAGTTATGCAAATAATAATAATAATAATAATAATAAAACCTTGAGAGTATTTGCTTAGGAAGTTTTCACTATTCAGTATTTTGGGAAGTGTCAATGAAGTACCGATGGGGTGCTCATCATAATCTGGCCACTCAGTGTATATTTTTATTGATTTCAGAGAGGAAGGGAGAGCGATGGAGAAGAAACATCAGTGATGAGAGAGAATCATGGATGGGCTGCCTCCTGCACACCCCCTACTGGGGATCGAGCCCGCAACCCGGGCATGTGCTCTCGATGGGACTCGAACCTGGGACCCTTCAGTCCGCAGGCCGGCGGTCCATCCGAACCGGCCAGGGCAGGGTGGCCTTCTAATGGCCACTGAGATGTAGCTCGGCTTTCCACCAGGAGGAGCAGCTGGGAGCTGGCACAAGGCCCGCCTCATGACAGAGGGACCGACATTTCCCAGGGACGGCAGACGGACACCTCCTGAGCGGGTCAGGGCTGTCCCGTGTTTCAGCTGCGGTCACCACTGCCCGTCTTCCTGGGGAAGACCCATGGCTCTCAGAGCGGGCCCCGGAACAGCAGCAGCGGAAGCAGCAGCGCCCTCCCAGGAACTTGTTAGAAATGCGAGCCCTCCCTGTCCAGGCCCGAGGAGGGGTGAGGTGGGCTGACCCGGGCCCCTACCCCCCGCAGGGACCTGTCCGCGTCTGCCCCGTGGGCCGCGTCACCTGCGTCTCTCTGGTGCCCGATTTGTTCTAAACTCAGCCCGGGCTTCCGAGGCAACACACGCAGGAACGCATTTCTAGTTTGACCTCTGCGGGCACCTGGGACCCCCAGACAGGGGCGTGTGCTCCCCTGAGGCCAGGCCAGGAGCGGCCCAGGCGCCTCCCAGGTGCACAGCCCTCGGCGGTGCTGGTGTCGGGGCACCTGCTCCCCTTCCAGCGCCCAGAGGACAGGGTGTGGAGGCCAGCACCCCAACGCAGAGCGCCTTGAAGTTCAGGAGCGGCTCTCTCTGAGCTGAGCTTGGGGGTTTCTTTGATGGCTTAGGAGGCCCGAGAAATGTGTGTTTGAATCGGTTCCTAACCCCTCCCACCAAGTGCATCCCGCACGGCTGATAAGGTGGCATTTGTGTAAAGTGACGTGTGCGCATGCAGGAGAGAAGGTGAAGATGCAGCCTGGAGACATTCCGCGCTGGGAGCCGGGCCGGTGTGGTGCGCGGCCAGCAGGGGGCGCTCACCTGCAGTGCACGGTGATGGGGTGGTTGCCCGTCTGCTGCTGCTGCTTCTGCACGGCCGCGATGAGGTCGATCATGCCCTTGCCCTCGGCCGGGATGCCCACCTCTGGCCAGCCGTGGAAAGTGGAACTGGCGGACTGCACGGGTCTGCTCCTCCTGGCGGGCCTGGGGCTGTGGGGAGGGCATCTCAGTGGTGCCGGCCAGCGCCCCTCGCTGCCCGGGGGGAGGCCCCAGGCCACCTGCCCTCGGGGACTCAGGCACCACTGGCCACCCTGAGGATTCGGTGGGGCTGTGTCCACTGTGGTCACCCGAGGGCAGGCTGGCCATGCTTCCTGCCAAGTGGGAAGCAGGACGTTCAAGGGGTGTCCCCGGAGCCCCTGGCAGCTGTGCCTGAGAGGCCAGGCCATCTCTCTCTCCAGAAGCCGGGGCCCGAGTGACCGTCAGGGCTGGGGGTGAGCAGTCTGTGGTCTAGTTTCTGGGTCGTGCCTGGGTGGAGGGAGCCAGTCTCCCCGGGAGCCTCTGCGGTGCTGGCTGCTTTGCGCTCGGAACCAGGTCCCACAGACGAGCCCCTCACTATGGCCGCCCCACAGAACTCCCCCTTAGACAGGAGCGGAGCCCAGGACCCCGTGGGACGGGGACGGTCAGGGACTCTGAAAAGGCACCTGCAGGGAGCCCTGGAGAGGCCTCTGGGGGTCACCCGTCCCCTTTATTCCTCCTGCCCCCAGTCACCATCCTTCCTCCTGAGTGGGGGTGGGCGCCCCGTCCCCCTTGTCCCTCAGCAAGGAGGCAGGTGACCTTGGAAGTCTGAATGTCATAGAGCTGCCCTGGACAACCTGGCCCCGTTCATCACGGGGGCTCTGACCTCCACGTGGGACTCCGACAGCCACGGGGGCACTGACAGCCACGGGGGCTCTGACCTCCACGTGGGGCTCCGACAGCCACGTGGGGCTCTGACCTCCACTTGGGGCTCCGACCTCCATGTACCTCCACGTGGGGCTCTGACCTCCACGTGGGGCTCTGACCTCCACGAGGGGCTCCGGAAAGGGCAGGAGGAGCCAGACAACCACAGTACCTGATTGCAGGTGACCAGGAAGTCGCGGACACTGATGGCTTCGGAAAGGGCATCGCTCTTTATTTCGATGGTTATGTCGCCGTGCGTCACGGAGCCCTCTGTCGGCCAATACTGGTAGCATTTGTCCTTGGGGGAGAAAATAGGATTTAAGTCTCCTAATGAATGGTGTGCTGCCAGGCGTTTTAGCTACATGATGCAGGATTGCTCTCAAACGGTTTAAAATATTCTTTTGAATTTTTATAATAATTTATTTGAGGAAGCAGAGGATATGCCTGGAAACAAGATCACAACATAAAGAGAAAAGTGTTTCTGTTGAACATGTTTTGTCTGGACAAGAAAATGGCATGAATCTGAACCTGAATGCCCACCAATGCCTGCTGGGCCAGGGAACAGGACAGAAGGGGCCTGATGGGAAGGAGAGATATTCGATACATGACGCTTGAAAAACGGGTTTTCCCTGAAGCTGGATTCCTGCTCGCAGCCAACCCGCACGGCCCATGTGGCTGCCTTCACATAAACAAACCCACCAAAATGCACCCCCCCCAGTGCTCACGGCAGGGGAAGGGGCACACGGCGTGCGGATGGCAGGCTGGTGAAGAGGAACACAGTGAAAGGAGGATGAATGAAGCCCAGCTTTAGGCGCCAGCACAGAAAATATCAAAGCATAATTCAGAGCCGAAACAGCAAGTCCCTGACGAACATGTGCTGAAATGATACCCTGTACAGACAGCAAGAAGCCAGCAAAACTGATCGGCAGGGTCTTTAGACGCACACACACACACACGTATGACAGGAAAGTTGTTTTTAGAGCAAAGACACTCCCACTGGATGGCTTTAATAAAAAAGACAGACAATAACAAGTGTTGGCAAGGATGGGGAGCACCGGGAACCCTCGCACACGGCTGGTGGGGATGTAAAATGAGGCAGCTGCTCCAGAAAGCCGCCTGGCGGGTCCCCAAAGGGTAACTCAGAGGGAGTTGCAACAGAGTTAGGACACGGCCCGGCTGTTCCCCCACCCCAGGACTCTGCTCGAGAGAAATGAACACGTGCGCCCAGGTAAAAACCTGGGGACAGTGGCAGAGGGGACAGTGGCAGGCGGACTTCCTCCCTGGGCTCCACCACAGGACCAGCCGGGGCGTCCACACAGCAGGGGCCAGAGGAGGGAGAGCAGCCCGGGCTCCCAGGACCAGGCCCCGGGCATGAATGTTCGTAACGTGACTCATAAGAGCCCAAGAGTGGAAACAGCTCAAACGTCCATCGACTGAGGAACGGACAAAGCCAGGCGGTCACAATCAACAGCACCTGCCAGTCAAAGGGACGAAGAGCTTCTTCGGCCACCACAGGCCGAACCTCGAAAACATGATGCGACGGGAAGGAACTCAAGCACGAAAGGCACGCGGTGAGGTTCCATTTACGTGAAACGTCCAGAGCGGGCCAAGCCAGAGAGTCAGGGAGCAGGTCTGCGGTGGCAGGGGCCACGGAGCGGGCGGGGTGGGGGGGATGGTTCATGGACTCGGGGTTGGTTTGGGGGTGATGAAAATGCTCTGAATTAGCGGTGAGCTTGCACAGGTCTGTGCATAGACTAAAGCCCACTGAACGGAAGCCTTTAACAAGATGAACTGTACGGTATGTGAACTGAGTCTCAATAAAGCCGGTTTTTAAACAGCAAAGAAATCGAAACACAAATTCGGGGTAGTGGCTACACCTTGGGGGGACACCTGGGTAGATGCACGTTATCGGCAAAAGTCTGGGTTTTCAGCTGGGTGGTGGGTTCAGAAGTCCTTATTATGTTATTAAATAAACACTAATCCAAGAAGGCCATGGATGGGTCTCTGGGAAAACGAAAATACAGCTCGTTCAACTTGAGCAGGACAATGCCAAGGGCATAGGTATCAACATCTATAGCTTTTTTTTTTTTTTTAACACCTATAGCTTTATGTCTTGATAAAAGTGAATACGTGTCTTTTTCTCCAATAAGTTGCGATCAAATTTGTATTTGTGGCAAACGCCAAATGGTGCAACTTCAAGGCAGGTTAAATAAAATCTAAGAACGAAAGCTGATGGGTGGTTATAGTTACCCCCCTCCCCCAAAGGAAGGAAGGAAGGAAGGAAGGAAGGAAGGAAGGAAGGAAGGAAGGAAGGGTGAAATGAGACCTTTTGCAGCGCCAACCTCTCTCAGTAGCTATGGCTGGACCTGCCCCTAAGAGCAGGTGGGACGTTTGCAATGAAGCACCTGCCACATGGGTGGGCAGCACCCGTGTGTGCAAGCCGCCTGGGGCCCGGGCGGGGCGGCGCCTGACCTGCTCTCGCTCCTGCACCTCCGTCAGCATCACGATGGTGTGGCACCGCCACTCCCACACCATCCTCCAGAAGTCCTCCACCGTGTGCGCCAGGGGCCCCTGCGTGGCGATGAAGTAGTCCTTCTGTCGGTAGCCCTGCCGATGGAGCAGAGGGGACAGTGGCAGGCGGACTTCCTCCCTGGGCTCCACCACAGGACCAGCCGGGGCGTCCGCACAGCAGGGGCCAGAGGAGGGAGAGCAGCCCGGGCTCCCAGGCCCAGGCCCCGGGCCAGCCCCAGGGCAGGACGCCCGCTCCCTCTGCGGACTGGACCTCTGAATGGCGCCCACGCCCCGCCACTCACGGCTTTAATGGGAAGGACAGACGGTAGTAAGAGCTGGGAGGGATGGGGAACCCTGGAGCCCTGGCACCTGCTGGCGGGAATGGAGGATGAGGCGGCGGAAAGGGGATGAGCCCTGCCACGCGCTGTGGCCACCTGGGGGCTCTGGCCCGACACGCTGCCAGGGGCTACGGTTAAGTTAGCATCGAGGTTGTGCAAAGAACCCGGGCGTAGGGTTAGAGGAAGTGGTCCACATCCCAGGTCCTCCACGCGGCCCGAGGGGCCTTCGGCACAGTTTTCCCTTCTGCAAGCAGACATCCCGGCCAGACTGGGCGCGAGCTGCCCGCCCACCGCGCTGTCCTGCACGAATGTGTCTGAGAAACCGAAGGAGCGAGACCAGAAGCACCAGGACAACCGGTGGTGACACAGGCGGGAAAGAGAAATCGCTCCACGTTTAAAGCAGAACGAAAAAACGCTGAGCTGTGGGGCAGTGCGCCCATCTCCTCTCTCCCCCCAGCTCATTGTTCACTCTTTCTAACAAGGAATTCCCGTGAAAGGTTTGGGTTTGGGGAGGCAGGCCCAGCCTCTCTGATGGTGGCGGCGAGTTCCTGTTGGGTCTGAGGAGGGGTCTCCCTCCGCAGCGCGGCCGGGGCGGCACTTACGTCGATGAAGGACGCGTTGATGTAGTCCGTGTACTCCTGGCCCCTTTTCATGGACAGGATCACGCGGTTGAAGTCATCTGCAGGGCGGCAAGTCCTTGGTGAGGGAGACGCCGTCCCGCCCGCCCGCCAGCTCCCCACGGAAAACTCACTAACAAAGTGGCTGCCAGCCGACCCCTGAGAGGGTTGACTATCGAACAGGTGGGTGAACGGGGCCCCAGGAGGGGGTGTCGTCAGGAAAACAACCCAGCGATGGGTTTCATGCGTCATGGACGGAGAGAATTCACATCAAACTATGAGCCTGGACAGTCGCCACGCACTTCCTGCACAGGGTGGCCTCTAGCAAGTCTGTCTGCACCTGCTGGTGTCCGGGCCGGGTCCCAGGGAGGTGTCTGAAGGACGGACACTCCCTCTGCTCAAGGCGGCCCGGCCTCTAGGTCCCCCCCGATCACTGAGGTCCATTCCTCGGCCCGCCCTCACCCAAGACCGGGCAGGCCAGCATCTGGCCCTTTCCCTGGAAGGTCTCCGCTGAGCTCCTCAGGTCTGTGGCCTGGCCTGGGGGGCCAGCACTCCTGCTCTGGGTAACGGGGTGCCAGGCCTCGCCCAGGCTGGGGGAAGACCCATGGAATGCAGAACCGGGAGGCCTGAGTCATGCCCCTCCCCCAGCTCTGCGCCCACGTCTGTCCCGGGCACACAGGCCTGTCAGTGGGCGTTCTCTTCCTGGTGGGGGCGGGGAGCCCTAGGCCAAGGGGGGGCCTCGCCCTGGACCCTGGGTAGCAGAGGTGGGTGATCGTGAACCCTCAGGGCCTGAAGCCTCAGGGACCACCCGCCCCCCACCCCACCCCGCCCGGGGGCCCGGCTGCATACACGGGATGATCTGGATGACTCGGGCCTTCTTCATGTTCGCCGGCAGGTTGCCCGTCCGCATGTTCTCCTTCATGATCCGGACATTCGTCAATTTCTGCAGCCGCAAAGGACCCAGCCACGCGGTTACACGCCAACGCTCCTGGCCCACCCTCAGCTTCCTGACACAGGGCACCAGGGCCCGCCTCCATCTCCAGACCCCTCCGGGGCCTCGGGCAGTAAATGTATGCGGGGCACTCTCCCTGCCCGCCCGGCCGCCGCCCCGCTCTGAGGGCCCCTCATTAGTCCTCCCGCGAGTCACGGAGGGCCACCCTCCCTCCCCACCCCCTCGCCTTCTCTGGGGTCATCGGGGAGGCAGCTTCCTGTACGCCGCCCCTCCCTGGAGCCGGGGCGCTCACCCTGAACTCCTCCTCCAGCCCGATCTTGTCGAAGTGGGTGGCGGTGCCCTGCAGCGTCTGCAGGTGCTTCTCCAGGGAGGCCACGTCCAGCTCCGTGTCCCCGTAGAGGTAGTACTCCAGCAGGGCCTGGTAGATGAACGTGTACTGCACCTGCGGACCAACGGGCGGCCTGGAGTCCCCCGCAGCCCCCACTCCGGGCACAGCAGGAGGTTGGGACAAAAGTGAGGTTCATGGCTGTTGACAGTGACCACTTAGGGCCTTGAGTAAAGATCACCTTACTGAGCAGGGTCCCCCCGGGCACTGTCCCCCACGCGCCTCCAGGGGACAGCCTGCGTCAGGGCTGCAGAGGCGGCTCGGTGGCTTTGTAAAGCTCAGACCAGAGACTGGGGTGGGGTGGGGTGTG